CCTCCCTATGCTTCTATATGCCACCATTACACATTACTAACTTTGTGTCTCCTCTCTCCCGTAGTGTGTCCTCTCTCTCTCCCTGTACCTTTCTGCAGGTTGCCCTGGCCCTGGAGCTCTATGTCTCTGACGAGCAGTCACCAGCCACATCGACCTGATCAGTGTTTGATTGTTGTGTCTTGTTGCTTTTCTTCTTTTGTCTCTCCTCTATCCACTCACCCCAACCGGTCGAGGCAGAAGGCCGCCCACCAAGAGCCGGGGTCTGTCGGAGGTTTCTTCCGTTAAAGGGAGTTTTTCCTCCCCACTGTCGCCAAGTGCTTGCTCAAGGGGGATTTGTTGGGTTTTCCCTATGTAATAATAGTGACAGTAAGGTCTAGACCTTACTTTGTAAAGTGTCCTGAGATGACTTTTGTTGTGATTTGGCGCTATACAAATAAAATTTGATTTGATTTGATTTGATAACTGCGAGCAGATAAAAGGCTAGGATAGCTGGGTTAGAGAAGAAGAAAAGAGGATGAGAATGTTACCGTGAAAAGTGTACCGTAGACCCAGCTGGGAGGTCGGGGGAACGAACAATGACTGACTGACTGGACCCCCGACCAAGATGGGCTCTGACTGACTGACTGACTCTGGACTGACTGGCGCTCTGACATTCTCCTTGTTTAATACTTTATCTATTCCATTGCAGGAGGAATGATTCTGGTCTCTGTTTCCTAACTACCAGATTACCTGTTTAACTACTGCTCTGTTCAGAATAATTGTAATATTAAATGATTACTTAAATTGGGATGATTTGTCTGAATTAATTTAGTCTGTATCACCTTCTAGCCACGACATACTGATCTTATTTATTGTTTTAGTTGTTTATTGTGGTTTTATTCTGCCATGTAAAGTACTGTGGTCAACTGGATGTTGTTTTTAAAGTGCTATATAAATACATTTGATTTGATTTAGGACACAATAAAAGGAACTGTTCATAGCTAATCTGGCATCCTTAATTTCCCCAAAATGTAAACATATATGCTCTACAAATTGGCGCTCATCACGTAACTCACTGTATGCATGTACTGAGGCAGTAATCTGAACAGTGCAGAACTTTCCTTAAAATGATCCAACTGTTAAGATATACTTCAGAACTAAAGTAATTTAGTGACAGCTGTCAGTACATACATTAAGCTTTAAATCTACAAGTTAAATGCAGAGTTGCAACAACAAAGTGTTAGTGCTAGCGCCAACTAGTGGTGTCTCTGAGGAGAAGAGTCTGTCATACCTACAAAGCTCTGGGTCTTGCTCTCCCAGAGCGGAGCAGCTCGTACGCCATTGGCCACCAGAGCAAAAAATGCCTTCTTCACCTGCAACACAAACAACACCACCAACAATAGGAAAAAGGTGAAGTATGATCAATTTGGAGGATGTAGCGTATTCACCTGCAGTGCAGTGTCAAACACCACCAGTTTGGAGCTGGTCGGGACGATGTCATAACACTTATGACACTTCATGAAGCGAGTGTAGATATCGTGCTCCGACTCCTCAGACACTGTGCACACATAAAAAGAAAATGGCAAAGAAGATGGAGCTCGTGGTTTGTTAGTACAATGCTAAGCTTATTGCTGTAGCCAGTTTGTTAAAAGTCAGATTTTCATCTGGTGTTTCTGTCAGATGTTAGCAGTGATGGAATGTGTGTTTTAATACTGCACTTTGGTTCAATTTTGTGGTACTTGAGGTTTCTTTCTTTTCTTGCTACTTTATACTTCTCCTGCATTACAGTTAAAGAACTGCCCACTAGACAGTGACATCACTTCCTGTGAAATCAGAGCCACACACACAAAAAAGCCAATGCTGGCAACTTCCACCAAATACTGACCACTTCCTGATGAGGTTGTCAAACGCAGCATGAAGGGGTCAATGTTAGCTGGGTCGTCAGTGTAAGATTTGAGTCTTATAGACTCTAGTTACTTTATATGCTTTAGTTACTTCTCATACCTTTAGTTCCCTTTAGTTACCTTTCATAATGTTATTTTCCTTGTTTATACATATTACAGCTGTATTGATGATTGTCCAGAACTACTGAGCTTTGGTTATTCTTAATACATTTATTTTCCTTGCTTATATATCTTACAATTGTATTGATGAGAATCAAGTAGAATCTGCTTACTTTGAATACTGTAACTTCTGTTGAGGCAGGATGTTTGCATCTCTTTCTGACCAGACAGCCTATTTACATTTAAACAGAGACCTGTTTTACACTCACACTCGACCCACTTAGCATATCCCCAGTCCTGCTTTGTCTTGGGATGTCCTGCAGAGGCCAGGGGCTACAACCTGAGATGACCACCTGGCCAGTTCAACATACTTATTAGCATCACACACACACACACACACACACACCTAGACTTTACCATATTCTAACAAGGGGGAGCTCTGGTTCACACCAAATGGACAATAGGATCAGAAAGCTGTTGAATGTTGTACCTCTGTCCAGGGCAGAGCAGCCCAAGAAGATAAAATGCACTGAAAAACATGATTCAGGATTGAGAGGATGGAACTCCTGCGGGAGCTCTGTCTCTCTGATCCCAGCGCTGTAATGACTTTCCTGTGATCAGACTTTCAGTAAACTTTCTGTTGAGTTTAAGCAGTCCTCTCCTGTCTTCACTTCTCGTGCTTCCAACAGAAGAATTGGGTTAATTTCTAACAACAGGAAACTAGAACCTATCATCAGAAGTTAGCACAAGAAGTCAGAAACTTGTACTGGAAAAGAAAAGCCAGCAAAGCAAGACTCTAGCACGGGGAATGAGAAGCTAGCATGAGAAGTCAGATTAAAGCATAAGACACAAGAAGCTAATGCAAGAGTGAGATGTTTACGTGAGAAACAAGTAGCTAACATGAGAAGCAAGCACAAGAAATGAGACCCTAGCACAGTAAACTATTAGAAGAGGATAGAAACTACAGCAAAAAGTGAAAGTGTAGCATGGGAAATAAAAAGCTAGCAGTCCAATGTACACGAATACTTGCTAGAGAGCCAAATGTGAGTTCATCCAGTTCTAAAAGTAGTCCCCAACAACTGCAGCGGTTTGAAAAAATACTACAGAAATTTTCCACCAAACTCCATTAATTCTCCAGCCTAAAATACAAAACTCTTTGTTTTGTAAAAAAAAAAAAAAAAAAAAAAAAAATTGTTTGTAGGGTCTTACCAGCATCATCTGTTTCTGGCTGTTCCAACATGCCGTCTGCGACCTCCACCTGCAAAAACATAACACAACAACAACATTTATTCAATTAAAATCCTTGATGGACAGTTCTAAAATCTTTGGTTCAAAAATCACTGAAATTTTGACAGTAGATTAAAGTTTCAGTGAAGGTTCCCTGGAATTGATCATCTGTTTCCATCAACACCATTCATTTTTTGTCAAGTGCAATCAGTTTTACACATTTACATGTTTTACACTCTCCTACTACTACAGGACTCCGGTACCTGCACTAGGCGCCAAAAGTATGTGGACATGTGGAAGCCATCACCCAATGCATCAATTTACAGAAATTAAAATGAATAAAAACCATCATGTTTCAGAAATTTTCCACCAAACTCCATTAATTCTCCAGCCTAAAATACAAAACTCTTTGTTTTGTAAAAAAAAAAAAAGTATGCTAGATAGCCAAAATACATGGAACCCTGAGAATGACTTTCCTGTGATCAGACTTTCAGTAAACTTTCTGTTGAGTTTAAGCAGTCCTCTCCTGTCTTCACTTCTCGTGCTTCCAACAGAAGAATTGGGTTAATTTCTAACAACAGGAAACTAGAACCTATCATCAGAAGTTAGCACAAGAAGTCAGAAACTTGTACTGGAAAAGAAAAGCCAGCAAAGCAAGACTCTAGCACGGGGAATGAGAAGCTAGCATGAGAAGTCAGATTAAAGCATAAGACACAAGAAGCTAATGCAAGAGTGAGATGTTTACGTGAGAAACAAGTAGCTAACATGAGAAGCAAGCACAAGAAATGAGACCCTAGCACAGTAAACTATTAGAAGAGGATAGAAACTACAGCAAAAAGTGAAAGTGTAGCATGGGAAATAAAAAGCTAGCAGTCCAATGTACACGAATACTTGCTAGAGAGCCAAATGTGAGTTCATCCAGTTCTAAAAGTAGTCCCCAACAACTGCAGCGGTTTGAAAAAATACTACAGAAATTTTCCACCAAACTCCATTAATTCTCCAGCCTAAAATACAAAACTCTTTGTTTTGTAAAAAAAAAAAAAGTATGCTAGATAGCCAAAATACATGGAACCCTGAGAATCAACATTTTAAGCACTTACAGAACCTGAATAAAATCTACTGTGTAATTAACACATTTTATTAAATATAAGCAGCCTTCCCTTCTAGCATATAAAGTAAACAGAGGACAAAACATTTATCAATTTAAAGGTGTCTGACATTAGGCTTGTTTAAGATGAGCCAAATCTGATCAAAATCAATCACCGGTGATCAGCGCACATGGATTGCTGTTTAGTTTTCTGTCCGACTTGATCACGACTTGCTCATAGGTAATGAGATTGTCATGAAATCAAGGCAGCTGCAGCTTTTGGAGCCAGGCACTGCAGTTACTTTCTATCAACTGCAAGTGCTCGGGGCATGATGGGAAATGTCTGGCTCTCACCTGATCTAATAGCTCATTGGTTAAATGCTGGATCAACAGCAAGATGTGTAATAAAAACTTGATTTGTAGTTTGTTACTGACACTGTTTGGTTCAAATATGGTCATGTGGCACACCAGTGAAAACTGGGACAGAAAACAGACATCCAGCTGAAGTCAATGAAAGCAGGCATACTGTGTATTTTTATACAACTGTTGCAGCATGAAGTTTTGTGGTTTGGGTTGCCCTGTGTGCATGTGTCAAACTGGGTGTACAGCAGAAAAAAAACATCATGTAAAGATATAAGAAAATGTTCAATGGGGGAGAACCAGGACTAACTTACCTATATTGCCTAAACTGAAGGGCATGAAAAAAGCCGAACCTTACTGCAAGAGGAACTGTGTGGGTGCATGTACTATATGTACACTTTCTGCTTTGTTTATTGATTATTATTACACATTTAGAATGGGCCAAAGACTCCTCTCCTCGGCCCTTCCTTCACACAATCAAAGAGGACAAAGGAACACACAGGAGCACATCTGTAGGGTTTTGGGTAAGTGCGGCCATAACTGTGGGGCTATAAGTTGTTAAGGTATAAAAGGGCAACTTCTTCTTCTTCTCTGTGGTCTTGGCACCTGGAAAACAAATGACCTACTTCTTCTGCGGGCACCTGGCCTCCTCATTTCCAGGCATTCCTTGGATTTACTGTAATACCACACAAACAAAACAAAAAACTAGATCTTATGTTTTCCTGTTTTGGTTTTAAAACGGTAAAATTAAGCTATGTTGGTTTTTTTTCTGGTTTTAAAACAAAAAACGACGGCTTTCTGTTTTTTCAATTATGTTTTGAAACAGAAATATGATATAACGAACGATCCACGGATTGTATTCAGCATCTGAAGTCCTTTTTGTTTCATCCGTCTTGTTCAAAGCTGAAATGCACAAATCCAAGCCAAACAACGACAGCAATCAGAAAACCAGCACAATGGGCGCTGCAATATTCTAAGGAACAAGTGCACGGAAAGGTCTGGCCGTCGAATGACATGTCTTTAGTGGGATTGTTGGGGCGACTGCCCCGCGCCGCAGCCGCCCGCCGCACGCGTTCAGGGCATCTCAGGCCTTTCACGTTGGCCCGTTTGAGTGCAGGTTTGGGGGCGCGTCCAGTCATTTTGACCGCCAATCACGTCTCCGTCTTATTTATTGATATGGTGGCATGACCACATCCGATCATTAGATTTACTAGCCATCACTAAAACGACCAAGTGACATCATTCATTGTGTTAAACTTGGGGCGATTTTAGTTAAAAACACTGATTTTTGAAGTGAAAATGATGTGTCGCTAGCTAGCACCTACTTGACAGGCGCCGTTCATCAAACACTTTCTTATAACTCCCTTTTCCCCGCCGCTCCGCGTCGCTTTTCTCCCTGTGGGTGGATCAAATTCTCACCGGCTACATCTCTGTCCCCCCCCGGCTGGAAGGTCACCGCTCTAACGGTGAAACAGTCCGCCGCCTGCTCCTCGGTTTCAGGTTACAACAACCAGAGCCTTAGGAGCTGACAAGCTAACTGCTAACATGCTGCACTTCTGGTTCGGGGTTTTCACAACAAAAGCATTTTAAAACCCCACTTAAGTGCACCTAATATGGTCGGTCCAAACGGAAGTGGAGACTTTCCTTGGGGCGGCTGTGGCTCAGGAGGTAGAGCGGGTTGTTTCATAACCGGAGGATTAGCGGTTCGATTCCCGGCTTGTATAATCAACATGTTGAAGTGTCCTTGAGCAAGACATTGAACCCCCAGTTGCTCCCGATGATGATACCGGTGTTTGGGAGTGTGAATGGCCAAATAGTGTGAAAGCACTTTAAGTGTGCTGTAAAGCATAGAAAGGCGCTATACAAATATAAGACCATTTATTAAAATAGCAAGTAGTAGAAAAATCAGGTTTTATTCTAAACAAGATTTGATCTGATTTTGTTCTAACCCAGAGTGGGTTAAGAAGGAGAGTGACGACATGCAAAATAGATTTTTTTAAAATTATTTAACTTACTTGCTCTTATTTTGGTATACTTCCACTTCCCTATCCAGCTGTGCTACGTTTATCATCCTCAGCTCCAGCTACATGCACCTGTCTTCCATCAATATAATATAAGTCAATATTTAAACCAGCTCCCACGGTCACCAAGTGTTTGCTCGATGGGGATTTGTTCAGTCTTTCTCTATAATAATAAGGTGGAGCAGTAGTTAGCGCCATCACCTCACCACCCTGGGCACCACTATGCCGCCCCTAACCTTAGCCATCAGAATTAAATGCCTAACCTGGACCCTAAAACCAAGTCTTAACCCTCAAAAAGGTGCTTCACAAAGTGAGGACTGGCAAAAATGTCCTCACCTTCCAAAACTGTCCTCACTCTATAGCAAGTCCAAAAACACACACATACCATACCTCTGGTTTTGTCCCTCCTGTTGCAGGTGAAGAGTTTGTCGCCAGATGAAGACGATACTTGGTGGTTCGAATCCCTGGACCTGAAGATGCTACTGAAGCTCAGCCTGTTGCAAACAGACACACTGTCAGTTCTTTTCTACAACCACAAACTGTGTGCAAACTATAACACGGTTTTGGAGGGGTCACTGTTTTTTTCTCACTTTTTTGTGGTCAGACTAAATGACAGATACAACAAAGCACATGATTTAGCTTTTCTTAAACCATTATTCCTACTGATAAGAATAGGAATAATAAGAATAGAAAATCAGATGACAAGTAGCTGATGGCATGCATATTTCAGCACCACGGAGGCACAGAGAGCCGCGAGGAGAGAGGCGGGGAGAGTCTGTTTTACTATATGCACCCTCCTGTGAATATGTGCACAGTTATGGCTCATACATTAATTACCTGTTTTATTTTCTGTTTTACCAGTGCGAGAAGGAAACCAAGTCCCTTGCATGTGCCACAGACACTTTGACACTTAAAACTGCCTTGTTTTCTTTTCGACATGTAATGTATTCAGTTCAATTCAGTTATATTTGTATTTTATCTGTAGCTTAAATGAAAATGGCGATTCACACGCAGACTGAGTGGGAAGAATGTTTGTTGCTCTGTTTTAAGGCAATTGACATGATTAAGAGACATTGTGTTGGTGATCTTTGCATTAAAGTGAAGTTTACTGCAACACCACAATGGCAAGAATTGCATGCATGCTGGTGTTTTTATTAAAATGAATTAGTGCTGAGTCAGCTTTAGGCTGAATCAAAAATCAATAATAATCAATAATAGCCCACATGATCCTTGATGACAAAGATATGGAAAAACAGAAAGAGCCTAAATGGCAAAATAACATTGTCAGTATTTTAGACTGAGACCATCCACGATTTTGCCAATCCTGTTTTCAGGGGGTTCGTGTCTTGTTAAGCTCCTCGTAGTTCACACCGTGACCCCAAAACAAACAGGTGTGTTTACCTGCAAGGAGACATGGACAAGGAATCCTCCTGGGGGGGTTCATTCTGGGAGGGAAATAGGATTTTGAAGGAGGAAATGGGACTCATGCTGGTTCACCTGCAGGACAGAAGGACACATTACAGGTGTTAGCAAAGCTGGGACATTTTCAGAAACTCAGGGACATTTTTCTAAAGTGAGGCCTGTCAGTTGATCACTAGCAGGTGAGGCTGGGGAAAACCACATCCAGCACCAGGACAATAAGCACAGGTGCTGCCCAGGGATGTGTGCGCTCCCCTCTGCTGTTTTCACTCTACACCAACGACTGCATCTCGAAGGACCTCTCTGTCAAGCTCCTAAAGTTTGCAGATGACACAACGGTCACTGGTCTCATCTGAGACGGTGACGAGTCAGCCTACAGACGGGAGGTTGAGCAGCTGGTCCTGTGGTGTAGCCCCAACAACCTGGAGATGGACACGCGGGCTCCAGTATCTCCCAGGACCTGAAGTGGACATCTAACATCAGGACCATCATCAAAAAGGCACAGCAGAGGATGTACTTCCTGTGTCAGCTCAGGAAGTTCGACCTGCCCCAGGAGCTACTGATACAGTTCTACAGAGGAATCATCGAGTCTGTCCTCTGCACCTCCATCACTGTCTGGTTTGGCTCAGCAACCAAACAGGACAGGAACAGACTTCAGTGGACAGTCAGGACTGCAGAAAAGGTCATTGGTGTGAGCCTGCCCTCCATGAAGGACCTGTACACCTCATGGGTCAAAAGGAGGGCGGAGAGGATCACTGCAGACCCCTCACAACCTGGACACAATCTGTTTGAACTCCTCCCCTCTGGACGGCTTTACAGGTCACTGTGCACCAAGACAACCAGGCACAGGGACAGTTTCTTCCCCCAGGCCATCACTCTGATGAACACTTGACCAACGACAGTATGACTGGACAATAACCCTCAGTGCAACACCTTTAAATATACATTGTACAGATCATACACATCCACACAGGTCTCTAGTTTTATTTTTAAATACTCCATTTTGATCCTATTTTTATCTCATGTCCCAATGAACATTCCTTTGTCTGTTTGCATTGTTTACTGCCTGTTTATATTGTTATATTACACAGCCTTATGTTGGTATATTGTTTACTTTCCCCTTGCTGTTGCTTTGCATGGAGATATGTATGTGCACATTGAGAGCCGTTGTACCAGAGTCAAATTCCTCATGTCCAGCACACCTGGCCAATAAAGCAGATTCTGATTCTGATTCTGCAAAATGGGGCCATTTATAGAAATCAAAAAAATTGCTGCAGACATTTTGCAAACATTACTGCTAACCTGCATGAGCTCGGCCCGGGCTTAGATCAGTTCAGATTAGTTTGTTTCCACAACAACACAAAGCCAAATCAGCTCTGATTCAATAAAAAAAACTAACCGTGAAGGTTGCATCTGAAATATGCTGACAAGTTTGAAGAACAAAGTCAATTGAGCCTTGAGGCCTTTGGCCACAAAAGTAAGGTTGTAATTTAATTGTACTTTTAGCAGTCTGATGAGAATTTAATCATCACTTAATAGAACAATGGAAAGCACTGAATTTTATGTCACATTAAAATGACAAACTGTATTTTAAAAAATGTGAAAAGTGTGAAAAAAGAATGAAAGAAAAGAAACAAAAACACTTTTGTAAGAGTCAAACGGGAACCAGTGTTGATAATTCACCTGGTGTCACGCTGGTCATAGCTTCCAACTTCCAAAAGTCAATAATAATGATAATCCAACAAATAAAGTTGTTCACTCCTCGTTGTCTCCCTCTCTCTGACCCACTGACACACTTGTCTCTCGTTTACCAGCCAACCACCCCCCACCCCCTCTTTGTGTCATTTCCTGTTCTGTTCCTCAAAGTTTATTTCAGTTATGAGATATAACAAACTTTTCATTAGTGGCAAATAGTATTTTATTGGCTGTTGGAATTTAACAGCGAGAATTTTGTCCTAAATTTACAAATATTTACTGTTCAATTAATAGATGCGACTGTCAAAGTTTCATTCTCACTGTTGTTAAAAACAAGCAAACAAACAGAAGCTGCAGCTGTGGAGTCAAAATACTGTCAAATCAAAGAGTAACATGATCTAAGGCACTCGTCTTGCAAAAAGTTAAAAAGCCAAGAATTGTATGATGCAAACACCAAAAACAATACTTGTACATATTAAAATATCGCTGGATTACAGCCCACGCATCGCAGCACACACAGTGATGATATTTTTGTACGTTTACTTGTACCCGAGTTCTCATCAGGATTTTTATATTCTTGCATTGTATTAGTAGGGAGGTTTAAGTGTTAGAACAAAGAAAATTTTATTGCAAGTTATCAGCGGGTTACAAATTACACAATAAGGTTATCAGGTGTATTCAAGTAATAAAATATCAGCAGTAAGGTTTGTCCTGGGTCAGAGCGAATCATACACATCAAGCAATATAAACACTTTTACAATGTTCACCTTCAGCGTTCATGAATCATTGTACGGATGCTGACTCAGCATCCATACCTTGTTTTCCTGGTCTTTACTATTATTATTATTGTTATTGTATGGATGCTGAGTCAGCATCCATACTATGTTATCCAATAATTTATTATTATTATTATTATTCCATACGTTTTTTGCCACTTAACTACTTCAGCAAACTTTCAGCTAGAAACACCATTTAGGTATCAAAATGTTCCGCTTGTTCAGGACATGCGGGCATCTATTCAGAATTTTCCTAAACTTCATAATTTTTAAACTATTCAGCTTTATTTTGAAAATTTTGCCCCATTCAAATGAATGGGGAAATTGAACTTCAACATACTTTCAGCTATTTCAGCTATCAAAATGTTTAGCTCTTCAAGGACATTCATACTACTATTCAGTACTTTTCAAAACTTTATACATTTTAAATATTTAGCTTTATTTTGAAAATCTTGCCCCATTCAAATGGATGGGAAAATTATACTTCAGCATACTTTCACTTATTTCAACTATCAAAATGTTCAGCTCTTCAAGGACATTCATACTACTATTCAGAAGTTTACTAAACTTCATACATTTTAAATATTTAGCTTTATTTTGAAAATCTTGCCCCATTCAAATGAATGGG